CCTATTTTGATACTACCCATATTATGCCTGATCCATCTAGCTCTTGTGACGTCCACCGCCGAGTTCTACGTGCATCTTCTCCAAGAAATAGGGCTTTTGGCTTGCTGCTCCGTCGCCTTTTGTTGTTGCATCTACATCGCCGTTCCCTGTGCATCGACGGCTGTGCTGCACAATCTTTGCTGCGCCATCCACCTACACAAGGTCTTCGTCCAGCTGATTGGGAATTCGTCATCAAGCCACCGCTACTCACGCCATCGCTAAGCCCTGCTCACCGGTCACCCCTCGTGTCGTCGTTGAGCCCCGCTCGCCGATGCGTCTGCTCCTACACTGCTTCTTCTTTGTCCAGCACAACCATGCCATCAGCGTCGCCATCTCGTCCCCACCTACTTTGTCTACTTCAAGAACTATGTGTTGCGCCTTCTACCCTGCTGCTCTATGCACCGCAACCGTCGTCGATACCTTCTCTACTGGTCCCTCAGACGCTAATGCATGGTTGGGGCCCTCTACCTTGTATATCCAGTATTGACAACACCGGTGCGTGCGTTCATCCCCAACGCGTTGCTGGGTCTGGCAATCCTAGCCCATGCATTGGCTCAGGCAGGATTGACCGCATCAACTTCGGCATCGATTCTCCCTTTCCCACCCCGTCTGCCTCAATTGCGTCGTCGCATTTCTTCTATGTCCACAAAGGCCTTGACTGCATCGACTTCGGCATCGCCCCTTCCATGACAACTGCCTCAATGCATCTCCATCGTCACCATGGCGCCTCTTGTGCGCGTGCACCTTCATCACCACGGCGACATGACCACAACTACGTCGACCTCGTCTAACTTCAGCATAGTTTCTTCAAACATGGCAGTAGTGCTCTTTAGATTGGCTACCTCGACATCGACACAAAGGGCTATCATCTGCATGAGTCATTATCAGTTTTCTCTCTAGTTCCAACATTTGCACTGCGCTAAGTTGTGACTGCAGGGGATGTTCGTTGACTTCTTCTCCAGTCTCACCATTATAGCTCTCCCGATGTGACTACAGGGGATGTTAGACTATATTCGGTGCTCACTGTAGATATGCTAGTTCTTAGCCATTGGCTCTTAACTACAATCCAATGACTGAGTTAGTGTTTTCCTAGCACGTAGGCATGCAAGTGCTTCAGCACTCTATATGTACCGTACCGGCAAGGGTCCTAATGCAATACCATATCCGTCGTTTCATACCCACAGTTCCATTTTTACAATAACGTATGACCAAATTAAACTGTCTAAAAACTGACGGGGAATAGCAATGCTCAACAACTTTGTCAGACCAAGGGCTTGTTCGGATGAGTTAGGGGTAGTTATTAGTTGGGGCTAAAATCTTACTATTACTCATTAGAGGCACCAACGGAGGCATCATGTTAATTCTCACCAGACGCGCTAAGAAAAAAAGATAAATCCTAAAAATTCTCACAATAATCAGAAACATCTAGCCTTTAATTTAATAGACTCTAATCATCATCACCGATAATAGCCATTGGATCTATTGTAATTTATAAAAAAAATTACCCACCTTTGTCATTATAAAAAATACATAAAGTACCCCCTAATTTTGCATATAAATTACCCACCTCTGCCATTACAAATGATAATTTAGAATAACCCCCAAATTTATATATAAATTACCCACATATGTTATTATCAAACATAATTCAAAATAACCTCATCACATTGCATATAAAGTACCCACCTTTGCCATTGCAAATGATAATTCAGAATAAACCCCTAAATTTATATATAAATTACCCACATATGTTATTATGAAACATAATTCAAAATAACTCCATCACATTGCCTCTAAATTACATGTCATTGCTATTGTGAAAGATAATTTAAAATAACCCTCTAACTTTGTATCTAGATTACCCACATATGTCATTATGAGACATAATTTAAAATATAACCCACTAATTTTGTATCTAGATTACTCACGTGTGTCATTATGAAAGATAATTTAAAATACATAATAATGATTTTATAAATTATCCACCTTTGTAATTATGAAAGATCATGAAAAATAACCTCCTAAATTTACATTCAACCTACCCATATATGTTGTTATGGAAAAATATAAAGTATTACCTTTATATTTGTATCTAAAACAGCCATTATAAAAAAACAAAAATATTTCTCAAATCTACGTCTAAATAGTATACAACCATGAAATTAAATAACCATAATGTTATACTTCACAATTTGTACTAACTAAACATATATAGATTAGGATATATATTTATTTTAATAGCTTATGAAGCATGGGAAAATGTTTAGTTGGCAAACCACCTAGAGACATCATAACACTGACAATTCACTTTAACTTATATTAATACTACACGATAATAAATTTTATAAATTGTTATTTTAAATAAGTTTATATATTTTAATTGAAACATTATATCATATCGGTATTGGTAATTTAATTTTAAGCACTCTAAGATACATAAGACAACACTAAATACATATAAGTCTGTGATATAACAAATTCAACAACTTCGATGCTAGGGTACAATCTGAGTTTTAATTAATATGTGGGAAAAAATACTACTAGGATTTAAACTCTTTTTAGTAAAAAATAATTTTTGAATAAAAGATGGAAAATACTAGAGTTTATACCTAACATGTGAAAAATTTGCACAACTCGACTGAAAGTCGATAGCTAAACTATGATTTATGGTCACAGAAAAGGATGAAACTAGAGTTTATATATGTTAATATTGTGTTTCAACTAAATACATATCATGCTAGAAAAAAGATAAATACTAGAAATTCTAACTAGAGGGCTCTAATGAAGCCTCCATGTTAATCCTTACGAGACATGTTAATTCTCATGAGACAAGATAAGAATAAAAGATAGATCCTAGAAATTCTCACAAAAATCCGAAACATTTGACTATCAATTCGGTATAACCTAATTACCATTGATAATAATAGCTATTGGATCTATTCTATAAAAATTACCCACCTCTGTAAAACAACATAAGGCAACACATGACTATATATTCAAACTACCCACATATGCCATTAAGAAACATGATCTAAAGCATATCTAAATTTGCACCTAATTACCCATGTACTCTTATTATGATAGATAATTTATGTAACCCAATCTTTGTCTTATTATTTGAAAAATAAACATCATCTAAAATCTACATTTAAAATTACCAACATCTTTTATTAAAAATGTTAAAATAATATAGAGCTTGTATATATATTTATACATTACCTATTTCTATTAATATTACTTTATTAAGATTTGATCAAAGTAAGCAAGTATGTTATGCAAGCATGCATGAGCGCATATCTAATGATACTAACAAATTGTTTAAAACCATATTAGTAGTCATGACATATATTTTATATAGGTCGTTGCTTTAGATATATTGATGTATTTTAACTAAATATTTGACATGTCTATATTGATAGTAGAAAATTCAATCATCGTGGGAAGTATGAGACACCACTGATGGCTATATTTTTCCAACCCTTCAAGATTACTTTAGAGCAAAAAGTCAATCATTATATAGCTTAAGTGTTCAAATTCTCTTGAGGTTAGCACTACTACCCCATTCGAGATCTCACTTCAAGCTCTATCACTTATATTAAATGATATGGCGCCGGTTTTGAATGATTACTTTTGCTATCATAGTATCTAAGAACGTACTCTAAGACCAAAAATCCTTATCGTTAAAAAGTGCAAAAGGTGGAGTTAATAAAAAAAATACAATAGTCACAAGAGTTTCAACTTGACGGCGAAAAAAATCTATAGCAGTCAACAAGAATAAAATTTTAAAAATTAAATTGAGGTTCATGACTTCATAAGATGTGTGGCATCAACAAGGACCGCCATAGTTAATGCCAAGATTTCAAATTAATTACATATTTAAAATATAAGAAGATGACATGCAATGTAAAAATATGAATATGGTTGAAAATCATATAAATAAGTCCCTTGCAAAAAACTATTTGGATATAGACTATATGAAATATCTATTGTCTATTTTGTAAAAATAAACAAAGATAATAACATTCAATTTAATATAATAATTCTTTATTATTTAGATGTATTAAACAATATATGTCTAAAAAATTCTAACCCGTGTAACCTAAATTAGCTAAGATTGGTTAACAACTACTTGAAGCATGACTAATAAATTAGCCCACCTATTAGCCCCTTGTTTGGATGAGCCAGGATTATTTTTAACTAATTTATTTTAGCTGGTTAACAATTAACCCTTAGTATCCTAACAGACCCCAAATATTTCAAATTTCAGCGGTTGTGTGAGAATTGGACATTGCTTAGAGTTTATTTGACCATAGTAGACTTGCCTTATTTTTATACCCTTTTCTAGAACTTAACGTCTTTGAGTCATGTGATGAGATGCTTGTTCCAACAAGTAACGACCTTACATTAGCTGTACTAATATCTTAACATCACCAACATACCATAATTAACACCTAGAAACATAGGGAAATTTGTCTGGTCCTGTTCTTTTGGATCGAGTGAGCTTCAATCATGCACCAACTATGTAGTTTGTATAATGATTCCACAAGATGCATGACTAAAATAGTGCTCTTAACAATGGAGCAACATGTCATGACGCTGTGATGCGTGAAATATGTTATGCTGGAGGTTGCTGCCTTATTGGTGTCAGGATTGGACAACCTGGCAACTGAGAGTTCCTGGTTGGTGTGTCCATGAAATATGTTAGCACACGACCCCGGTTAGAATATTATTGGCATTTTGGATTGCATGTTTGTGGAGGAAAATGACTTGGCATGGAATTGTCTGCGTGGACTGCAGCAGATGGAGGTAAGCTTGTTTCATTCTAGTTTCAATAAAACTGGAGGAGTAGCAATAAAACACTAGTCTTTGGTATTTGTGCAAGGGGTTGTTCTTGAACAAATAGACTGGCTGTACTGATATGTGAGGCTCAAATACACGAGGGACATACAAACACTAGAGTACTAGACTGGAGAAGTAGCATTTGCTTCGGGTTTCACTGATGAGTCGCCAGGCGATGGTTGGGCGCTCTGACGACTCCTCCTTCTGATGATGCAGGACAGGAGGAGATGGAATGCCATGTAGACCAGCACGGCTATGACCAGCAGCAACACATACACAGATGTCTTCCACCGCCTGCTCGAGCCGGCTGCGTAGGCACCCAGGAGGCCAAGCAAGTCCAGCACAATTGTTGTGTTCATCACCACAAGCCACCTTTTGTGCCAGTGGTCGTTGCGAACTAGCTGCTTTGGTGGTACCAGGAGAAGCAGGATGACCATGACCGAGACGGACGCCATGAACGAGGTGGAGTTGCTGTAGAAGAAAGCCAGATACCGGGGCCTCCTGTTGTCATGCATCACCGGGTCGCCGGCCTCGTGCCCTCCACTGCTGTTCTGCCAAGCTCCGCCCGGCGGCTCTAGGCCGGCCTGGTAGGTGACACTTGCCACAAGGATCCCTAGCAACATGAGGTACTTGCGGTTGGCATGTATGCTCTTCTTTTCTCGGTGTCGTCATTGTCCTCCTCGTCTTGTGTGTTGGTCTCTATTGGTGCTCCTTGTGGAGTTTTGCTGCAGCCCGTGAACCAAAACACCAGGAACAGTAGGACTATGAAGAAAATGACCACTGCCACCAACACGAATATGTAGATGGATGTCTTCACATGCTGCGTGCTTCCGGCAGCGTAGGCGCCCATGAGGCCAAACAAGCCTACCCCCGTGCACACGGACAGCGCGTGGGTCCGTATGGCTGGCCTGTACAGGTTGGGGTTGACGAGGAGGAGGATGAGGGCGATGGACAGCATGAAGCTCACCGAGTTGCAGTAGAAGAAGGCCTTGTAGCGGCGCGGGAAGTTGTACAAGAGGACCGGGTCACCGGCGTGGTGCCCGGACTGGTCGTCCTGGAGCAGGAACCCTCCTGGAGGAGTGAGGCCGGCTTGGTAGGTGATGGTCGCCGCCAAGATGGCGAAGAGGAGCAGCCGCTTGCGCGTCTTCTCCACCAACTCATTGTCCTTTTTCTTGTCACTCTCGCTCCTTGTGCGTGTGGCGTCGTCCAGCGTGATGAAGATGACGTGGATGACCACGTAGACGAGGACGGCGCCAGCCAATGCCATGGCATGGATGGATGTGTTCACATCCCGGGAGCTCCCTGCCGCGTATGCACCGATGAGGCCGAAGAGGTCCAGTATCATGACCGCCTCCAGCACATGGTGCTTGAGCAGAAACTTGCTCTGGACCAGCACGATGGCGACCAGGGACGCCACCAGCGACACCGAGTTGCAGTAGAAGAAAGCCTTGTACCTCCGAGCATTCGTCGTCAGGAGGATTGGGTCACCGGCGGTGTGGCCACCACTGTTGTCTTGCCAGACGCCGCCCGGCGGGTCTAACCCCGCTTGGTAGGTGATCGTCGCTGCCAGAGTGGCGAGCAGCAGAACAAGAGAGCGAGCCTTGTCGGCTGCTTTCTCCTTCTCTGTTTTACCCTCCCTGACCCTGATTCGGAGAAAAATTAAAAGAATTCAGCTGCAATGCAATCAATATTGAATGTTCTGAATGCCAATGATTTGCAAAGGAAGAGCGAGCGGTACCAAATCGAGGCAAACTCTGAATACTACCTGCCATTGGCCCTAATGGTTGCACATTAGGAGCAAGAGGAATAAAAATATTTATTTCAATTTCAACTGCAATGTTGAACATTATTAGTTACCTGAATTTTTTTTTCATTTCTTCCCATTTGGCGTAGATGTGATCTGCGACAAAGTAGAGGAACGAAATGTACACCAGAACAGCAGGGATGAGGCTGAACACGTAGATGGTGGTGTCGGTCTGCCTGCAGCTGCCGGCATTGTACGCGCCGATGAGGCTGACGAGCGCGACGACGATGAACCCGTAGGCATTGATCTGGCGGAGCTTCGTGTCCAGAAGCACCACGATGATGAGCAGTGACGCGACGAATGCCGTGGTGTTGAAGCCGAAGAATACGGCCAGGCGCGTGTTGTGATGGTCCTTGAGGATGGAGTCGCCGGGGCGGTGCCCGAAGCCAGTGCTGTCCCAGAACCCCCCCGGCGTGCTCAGCCCGGCCAAGTACGTGATGCTCACGGCGAACGTCGCGAGAAGCATCAGGACCTTGCGGAACCGTTCTTTCGCCTTGTCATGTTCGACCTTGTTGGCCACTGAAGCAAGCGCCATCAGGACCTTGACCTTGCGGAAACTTTTTTTCGCCTTCTGCCGTTCTTCTTCTTTTTCGACGGCTTCAGGTTCGGGCACGCCGCCGCCGGAACCGGAACCGGAGTTGGGGTTTCCTTCGACTTGGCCTTTGGGCACGCCGCCGGAGCCGGTGTCGGTGAAGCACGAGCACGAGGCCACCGCCACTTGACCAACGAGGTAGACGAAGACGACGCCCACCAGCACCGAGGAGTAGACGGTGGTGAACGTGTCCCGGCAGGTGCCGGCGGCATAGGCTCCCATGAGGCTGAGCAGGTCCAACACCATGGCCGTCTGCAGCGTCCGAACGGCGATCCATTGTCTCTTCATGTACTGGACGACGATCTTGGAGCCGGAGTACTTGTCCTTGTAGTCGTCCAGGTAGGCGAGGGTGAGGGTGGTGACGATGACCACGAGCGACGCGGCAAACGCGGTGGCGTTGCAGTAGAAGAAGGCCACGTACCGCTTGTGGTGGGTGTCCCGGATGATGGGGTCGCCGGCGAGGTGCCCGGCAGCCGTGTCCTGCCAGACGCCCCCCGGCGGGCTGAACCCGGCGGCATAGGTCACCGTGGCCACCAGCGAGGCCAGCAGCAGGATGTACTTCTGGAGCTCCAACGTGACTTCTTGTTTATTCTGATTGGTAGGAGGAGCATTTTGGCTGTTGTTGGGAGTTGTGTGATCGGTGGTAGCAAGCTTGGCTTGCGGCATGGTGGCAGGATCCTCCATTTGCAATCGCAACCTCAACTAGGACACGATGGTGTCTCAAGCTCTCTCTGATCAGATATATATAATGGGGCACCACTACGGGAGAGACAAAATTCCCCGAGTGTCTCTGGCTTCCCCGAGTGTCAAAAATCGTGCACTCGGAAAAGAGAATCTTCCCCGAGTGTTGCACTCGGGGAAGAGAGGCTTTCCCGAGTGCCGCAGAGATCCTGGCACTCGGTGAAGAGCAGCACTCGGGAAAGGCCCTCTTCCCCGAGTGCAACACTCGGGGAAGATCGGCACTCGGCAAAGAAACATACTACTTGCCGGTTCAACCCGTCAACGCCGTTAAAAGTTTAAAAAAAAAATACTTCCCCGAGTGCCTTCCCTGGCACTCGGGAAGAGGTTCTTTCCCGAAGTGCGAGCAGGCACTGGGAAAAACTGCCTTCCCGAAGTGCCTGTTACGGCACTTCGGAAAGCCTCTTCCCGAGTGCGTGGAAGGCACTGGGAAGAAATTTTTTTGTTTTTGTTTTTTTTTGCCTCATTTTTTTTGTGAGGCCTTGCCACATTATTTAAAACTCCATGTTCAAATTTGGGATAAATTTGACTTTTTTTGTTATATTTCGTTAGTTTTTTTCGTTTCGTTAATTTTTTTTGCATACTTCGAATTTGAACTGCAGGTGCATGAAATAATGAAATTTGGTGATTCAAAAAATTATATTAATGATATTTGGTGTATGTTGAGGCCTTATCGAGAACTACGCATAGAACTTCGAGCATCTTGTTCGCATGACATAGCGAATCAATCGAAAAGTGTTTTTTAAATTATATAAATCCGAACGAAGTTCGAAAATTCGAAACTTGTTTGAAGCGTCGTGGATTTTATATAATTTGAAAACACTTTTCCCCGCAAGTTGTTAAAACCCGGACATCTCGCATATGTTACGTCAACAAGATGCTATATATTTCATGCGAAGTTCCCGGATAAGGCCTCAACATACACCAAATATCATTAATATAATTTTTTGAATCACCAAATTCTATTATTTCATGCATAAAAAATTCAAGTATGCAAAAAATTCAACGAAACAAAAAACTAACGAAATATAACAAAAAAGTCAAAATTTTCCCAAATTTGAACATGGAGTTTTAAATAATGTGGGAAGGCCTCACAAAAAAAATGTAAAAAAAAAAAAAAAAAAATTTTCCCAGTGTCTTCCCGGCACTCGGGAAGAGGTTCTTTCCCGAAAGTGCCTAGACAGACACTGGGAAGACTAAAAAAAAGCCCACCAGGCCTTATCTAAACCTAACTGCCACCCACCCGCCTCCACCCCCAGACGCCAAGACGCCAAAGAAGAATCACCCCGCCAGACGCCGCCTCTGCTCCCGCTCCCGCTCCAGACGCCGCCCGCACGCGCCGCCTCTGCTCGCGCTCCCGCTCGCTCGTCTCCACACCCCTGCCCCCCGGCGGCCAGGCCCGCCCCCTCCGGCGGCCAGGCCCCAGACGCCGCCCGCCCGGCCCCTCCGACGCCGCCCGCCCGGTCCCTCCGGCGGCCAGGCCCCGGACGCCGCCCGCCCGGCCCCTCCGACGCCGCCCGCCCTGCCCCTCCGGCGGCCAGGCCCCGGACGCCGCCCGCCCTGCCCCTCCGGCGGCCAGGCCCCGGACGCCGCCCGCCCGGCCCCTCCGACGGCCAGGCCCCAGGCGCCGCCCGCCCGCCAACACCCGGCCAGGATCTGCCGACGCCCGCCCGCCCCAGGAGCTGCCAGGCCCCAGACGGCTCACCCCAAATCTGACGTGCGACTCCAGCCAGGTTCTCATCTTCTCCAGTTCGTTGCAAAATTCCAGGCACTTTATAGGATTTGTAGGGTGGATGCTGTTCTTTGCCTTCTCTGTCAGTGCAAAGCATTTGTAGGATGGATGCTATAAGTCATCTAGGAGTACCTCGTGCTAGCCAGCCAGCCATTGTCATTTAGCATGAATGCAGTGATGAGTTACACGTTGGATTCATTAAGATATGATGCTTATGGTGGCATAGTTAATGTACTGTCGCTGTTCTTCAGTACAATGTTGAAAAAAATGTAATAATGAGGTGTTTCATTTGAGGCGTGGATGCTCATGGTGTTTACTGGTTTCACTAGTGAAATGGTTAAGACAGTGATAGATCATGATAGATCGTACCCTCTCTCTATACAGTGAAATGGTTTCACTAGTGAAATAGTAGAGAGAGCGAGAGAGAGGGTACCCTCCCTATATATAGTAGACAATGATAGATCAATTTACCTTAACTGTTTTTTCTATATTTTACCAAATGTAGAAGTATATATATGTGTAGAGAGAGGGTACTTTGGATTTTTTTCCATAATATGGCAGGTTCATGGATTACTTGGGTTATTCTAAACAAAGGCATAGGTTAGATTTATATGTTACTTTTGTTTATTGTCATAGTTACTACTGTAGTTATAGATCAAGCAATTGTTCCATTTACAGTCCTCTTGTTTCTTGCAGTAGCCCCTGTGATCCACCTGGACTAAACGATGCATCTGGTTGTTTGGCCGTTGGGCATTGCAAGTTCATCAGGTACTGATTCCTATCTTTATCTGTATGCATCACTTCATGCATTTTTTGATCCACCTGACATGGTAATGGAATTTGAACTTTATTTTGGGCTGCTTCCTACGTCTCACAAGTAGTCTCACATGAATGAGTAAAATGTTCCTTGAAAGCTGGCCAAGTTGTGCAGGCCTATGCAGCATTTATATTTTCTTAAAATAAGGATGGTCATCTAATAATAATAAACATGTGATTGGAACTTGTGATCTTTTGGATGGCAAGCATGACTGTATTCTCTGCATAGCTGCTCTAGAAATAAGTTGCTGTAAAATACATACAGTAGAGATGCACTATGAAAATTTATTTTCTTCATGTGAAACTCTATTTAAAATTTCTATCCATGGAAAACAATAACTAATTAAGTACAGCATATTTTTATCTTAAAAAAGATTTTGTGAAACACTATATTGCAAATTTCAATTTCTGAATATGTGTTGCTTACTCATCTCATGCAGTGGATCTGCTTGAGCTTGCTGCTCACTGACGTCGGACCTACTCAAACTCACCGCCCAGCTGCCCCCACACCGGACCTCGAGCTTGCTTTCAGGTATGTCTTCTTCCTGCAACCAACTGAATCAGCACAGGGTGCGTGCTCGTAACTATGCTAACTTTCATTTCTTAACTCTGTAGTTAATCAGCCCGAGACGGCGTCTTCTTCTCCGCGTCCCGTCCCATTGTTGGCGTCTTCTTCTCCGCGTGCACGTCCCGCCAACGCCCAAGGTATACGAACCGTCCCATTCTGGTTGTCGGCCATCGCGCCGTTTATGTGTTGACGGCCTTCGTGCCGGAATTGTGGATGTGTGGGCCATCGTGCCCCAAATGTGGACGTCGGCTATCGTGCCGACGGTTTTTCTTGCAGGTTATCGAAACCTCCCCGTCCAGCGGTGGCTTCAATCCAGGTAAGTATTCCAGTTTCATTCGTCGTTCTTTCACTTTTACGTTCCTTAGCTCTGCATTATTGAAACATTGGGGTCAAATATTGCAGGCCGAGCTGCAGCAACTTCGGGATCAGCAAAAGAGTTTGCTGGCTGAGCGGGAGGCTGAGCGGGCCGAGCGGGAGTCCGAGCGTCAGAGGGTACAAGCTTTGGAGGCCCAGCAAGATGGTTTGCTCAAGTTCGTGCAACAACTTGGGCAGCAACATGGTTGGGAGATCCCAGCAGAGCTGCTTGCACCACCACCACCATATCGTCGAGAGTCTACTCCGGTGAGTATGAGTACGCATGTTTTACTTTTTTTGCTCATGCTTAGTGTCAAACCTAGTGATGGCATTCGTGCCGGATTTGTTGATGTGTTGGCCTAGGTGCCGGAAATGTGGTTGTCGGCCTTCGTGCCGACGTTTTTCTTGCAGGTTTTGGAAACCTCCCCGTGCAGAGGATGTGCTGCCGAAATTTTCAACTTTTCTTTACACTCCTTACATTTTTATCTTGTCACTCACGTGCAATCTCCTCTCTTTTTTGCAGCATCAATCGGGGGCGGCGTCGAACCATGTCGAAGGGTCGCCGGCATCGAACGTCGGGCCATCCCCACCTGGACCGTCGCCAGGATCAAACGCTGGGGCGTCCCACCCCTCACAGTCGTCGTGAGCCGCCTTCGGAGACGTGAAGGAAGGCAGATCATATTGCACAGCTAAGGAAGGAGGTAATCAGAACACTTTTCCCCTGGTGCTAATTAAATTCCATCCTCAAATATTGTAGTATTCCATAGTAGTTCCTGTAGTGATCACTGAATCAAGTAATATGATTTCTTTCACTAAATTTAGACTGAATCAAGTAATATATAGCGCCCCGTCGGCGTCGGTGTCGCCCTGCCGCTCCCGCCTAGCAGACTGATGGCTCATGAGCGTCACCATTCGCTCCTGCAGGTGACTAGTACGTTGTACTGTATAGTAGCTTGCTGGCTGGGGCTATGTGCAGGTGACAAGTACCTATTTCGATCTAGCTCGAACCTTGAGAACACACAAGTACGCAACTGCTGCGCCCCTGCATGCGTCGCGGTTCACACTGATTTTTCCAATCGTGCGAGGATTTTGTAGACGACGACTTTGACGCTGCATCACTTTGACGCTGCATCACTGCATTACTTCCAAACTGAAAAAGCTCGACGCCGCCGGCTGGGGTCGACGAGACTCGACGGGGGAGCACAGGCAAAGCGCGGAGACAACAACGGTGAACGATGGCAACGGGCAACCTCCCTGAATTGTTTTCAACTGTGAAGACAGTAATATAGAAAAACAAATACGGCACTGGACGAGATGCCGCGTCATGTGCATCTATCTAATTGTCTGTCTGTCTGTATCCTTGTTTGCATACAGCCTGGTTGGGATCGTCTCAGCAGCCGTGGCTTGTATGTATGTAAGGTTCCCCTCTTTGCATACAACTTAATTAATTGGGATCTC